ACTCGGCGATGGTTACAGAAACAGGTATTCTTTATCCCTTATCTGATGTCGTATCTTATGATAAGTTATCACCCAAACACCATGCTTTCACCACTTCTCTTTCAGTGGAAAAAGAAACAAAATCCTTTGAACAGGCAATTTGTGATCCCAAATGGTGCCTAGCTATGCAACAAGAACTTGCTGCACTCAAGGCTAATGGAACATGGTCTCTTCAGACACTTCCTCCAGGAAAGAAGCCAATTGGCTGCAAAAGGGTATACAAGATCAAATTCAAACCCGATGGTACTGTCGAACGCTATAAGGCCAGGTTGGTAGCCAAAGGATACAACCAAATAGAAAGATTAGATTACAGTGAGACCTTTGCTCCAGTTGCAAAGCTTGTGACTGTTCGCCTCCTCCTTGCTGTGGCCTCAACCCAACATTGGCACCTTCACCAACTTGACGTCAACAATGCTTTCTTGCATGGAGATCTTGATGAAGATGTCTACATGACTTTATCTCCTGGTTTTGGACGAAAGGGGGAGACAAGAGTTTGCAAGCTTCACAAATCATTGTATGGTCTCAAACAAGCATCTCGCCAATGGTTTATCAAACTCACCACTGCCCTCAAACGAGCCAACTTCAAACAATCAAAGGCCGACTATTCCTTGTTCGTCCGATCCCAAGATGGTAAATTCACTACTCTCCTTATTTATGTAGATGACGTCATCCTTGTAGGAAATAATCTACAAGACATTGAAGATACCAAGTCATTTTGAAGAGATCAATTTAAATTGAAGGACCTTGGGCAATTGAAATATTTTCTTGGAATAGAAGTTGCACGATCCAACAAAGGCATTGTTCTTTCACGACGAAAGTATGCTCTCGAAATTCTCGAAGATGTTGATTATCTAGGGGCCAAACCAATCTCTTTTCCCATGGAGCAAAACTTGTCCCTTAGTAAGTTTGATGGGGACTATATTAGTGATCCTTCTTCATATCGAAGGCTTGTTGGACGACTAATTTACTTGACTATCACACGACCTGATTTGACATATGCAGTACATGTTCTAAACTAATTTATGGACAAACCACGAGTCCCACACCAAGAAGCAGCTTATCGTGTATTACGTTATGTGAAGCAAACACCAAGTCAAGGAATTTTTCTTCCTACAGATAGTTCAATCCAATTAAATGCATTTTGTGATGCGAATTGGGCTAGATGTCATGATACTCGACGATCTGTCACTGGGTATTGTATATTTCTTGGAAGTTCATTAATTTCCTGGAAAACCAAGAAGCAAACTACGATATCACGATCTAGCGCAGAAGCTGAGTATCGATCTATGGTTGCAACTTGTTGTGAGATTACTTGGTTGAAATACATTCTACAAGATTTGGGCATCCAACACTCACATCCTGCCAATCTATATTGTGACAATCAAGCGGCACTACATATTGCTTCAAACCCAGTTTTTCACGAGCGAACAAAACATATAGAAATTGATTGTCATCTTGTACGGGAGAAGGTTCAAGAAGGAATGGTCAAAGTGACTCATATATCCACATCACACTAGCCAGCTGACATATTTACAAAGCCGTTGAGTTCTTCACATTTTTCGACTTTACTTGGCAAGTTAGGAATTATCAACATATATTCCAAACTTGAGGGGGAGTGTTAAAGAATTAAAAGTAAATCAAGGCACAAAGTCAGGAATGTCCTTCAATCATCTCAGTCAACCACCATCAATTGCTGTTAATGTATTTTTCATTTATACAGGAGTATGAATAGGCAATGACAATGTATATGCTTTGTTTTAAGACCTAAATTGATTCTCGTATGATGTATATATATACCTTATTATTTCTCAATGAAATATACAAGAATTATTTTCCTTTTCACTCCATCTATAGAATTTTTAACAACAAATATTTCTTGTCGTAAATAGTGGACCCTATTGCATCACAAAGAGTCTGTTGCAAAAAATAAAGTTTGTCGCTATAAGTTTTTCAACAAAAAATATTTTGGTGCCTTACTTCATGCCTTTTGCCACAATCTTTATTATTTGTCGTGCCTTCTCTCATTTCACAACAAGTTTTTACGCCATCTTATATTTTTTGGTACTTATTTTTTTATAACAATATTTTCGACAAACTTAAAAAAAAATTGTCGCACTAAATCACTTATTGTGACAACTTTCTGTATATTGCAAAATGTCTTGTTGTAAAATCACACTTTTATTGTAGTGTATGTTTAGTATAGTTTTGAGTTGGGCTTTCAATTTGTTTTGAAATTTTGAATAATGCACAAGTTCAAAAAAATTTAAAAACTCACATTTGCCGACTAAAATTGTAGTAGGAAACTGTTACTACACGAGTTAACTCTAATTCCCTGACTAAATTTTTCTTGGTCAACAAATGGACATTTTTCAACCAATGACAAAGGTCAGCCAATGTTTTCACCTTGAAGACAAGTAGAATTGCTGACTTTTTTTTATAACTTTTCCGGACCCAAAATATGGTCATAAAAAAGTTTAATATTTGCCAGCCAACATAATTTTGCTAAATCAAAATCTCCAGGTTTTCCGATTAATTTATATTCTAGTCGATGAAAACCTTTACTGGTTGACTTTTGGCAACAGTTCACTATCAATATGTTCTGGTCAGTGATTGGTTTTACTGATCGACACTGGACTTTTAGCAACCAATCTCTTGGTTGGCAAAACTCATATTTCTTGTATTGTATAAAACAAACCTTTGGTCATATTTGGCATGTTGTATTAGACAATCACGAGTGCAAAATAACGTCCATATTAAATTAATTCAAGAGTTCATCTTTCGTTAGCAGTCGAATTAAAATTATAGCTTTATGATCATAATTATGTCTTGAATAATACGAAAAAATTAGTTGAATTGATATAACTTAATTTGCTTATAAGTAAACTATGTATATACAAGTAATTTATTTATAAGTTGAAAATTTTCTTTATAAACTTTAAGTAAATAAATCTTTTTATTAATTAAAGTTAGAAAAGAAGTAAGTATATTTATATTGATGGTAATCTAAGGGTTATTTTAAAAAGAGTACTTCTTTCATTTAAAGTAAAAGAAAAATAAGTTGTAGACAAAATGAAATTTTATTAATAAGTAAATATGTAAATCCACTCACAAATAATAAATAAGTTTTAAAACAAATAAAATTTTCTTGTTAATCAAAGTTAAAAAAGAAACAAAAGGTGAGAATATACTTTTAAAAAGGAAATATTTTTAAAAGTATACAAATCATAGTTGTAAAAAGTAATTTACTCAAAATTAACTTTCCTTTTTAAACTTAGACAAAAATAATTAAATAAATAAATTGTCACAAGTTTTTTATTTACCAATATTACATTTTTCTAATAGAGTATAGCATCAAATATTGTATTAGAATTTAGAATAATACACTATAATCCATCTTAATACGATGCTTCTTGACCATATATCTCCTAAACAAATCCTCTATAATCCAATGGGCAATACAAAAAAGATTTGATATTGAAAAATTTGCAACCTGCATATATTAAAAAAATATGTATATAAAAAAATGGTTCATGAAACGTTGGTTAATGAAGGATTCTCAAGATGTTTGTTCTTAAAATAGATGCAATTATCCATTTCAATTTTTCATTTTGGTGCTTAGATAGTTTAAAACTGGATCCAAATTGAATGCTAAAGATGGCAAAAATACTCCCCAAAGCCAATACCTGTGGGCCCCGCTCTGAACGGGTCAGGTCGAGTACGGGGCGGGTAAGCGTAACGGGGTGCTCGTCCCACCACGTTCATTATTATTATTATTATTATTATTTGTTAAGAATTCAATACTTTAAGTTTAAAGGGAAAAATTCCATTAAATTTCATTTTAATAGAAGATAGCAACTAAAATTATCTAAAGAATATGATAAACAATAAAAACCTTAATTTACCAAATATATTTAAATAATTTAACTTTTAAAAATAAGTAAATTAACTAAAAAATTTAATAATTATATTACTGTCTCGCTTGACTTGAATGAATGGGGTCAATAAAAAGAATTATCAAACACTATATAAAAAAAATTAAACGGGTACATAACCGCCCTACCCTAAAACTAGTAAGAGACAAGTACAGGATGCGAAAATGCTCGACGAGGTAGGGGGGAGAGCTTGACCCACCCCGAACCCGCCCGTTGCCAACCCTACGGAATGCATATGTTTGCCACAACTCAAATGCTAAGTTTTGTAAGAATTTTGGTGGAAATTCATGTTTTCAAGCCCTTCCATATTTGATGCATTTTCATGAGAATTTTAATAATTTTCAGCCATATATCTTTCATTATATTTCTTAGAGACTCATAGTTAAGGGAGTTTTAACTATCTCAAGTTTGAATTTTGGTGCATTTTTATGCATAAATTTCGTGAATTTTCAGCCTTCCATCTCTCATTATAATTCTAAGCTCCATGGGTGTACTTTTAACGACATCCAGTTTAAATTTTGATGCATTTTCATGCACAATTTTTTCCCTCATTATATTTTTTTATAGACATTGCAAGAGGTTAAGGATATGGTTTTAGGGAGTTATATATTGAATTTAAACTTCATCAAATTACTCAGTTCTATTTGTATAAGAACTATACAGTCGAGTCAGTCTACGTGGGTTACTCATGATCCATTTCAAACAAATACATGTTATGATAATATAGGAACAGTACTAACTATTTAAAATTAAACTCTTAGAAATTCGAGCTGGGATCTAAGATGTCTCTCGTTCACACGTGATAAAGAAGAGATATGAAAGTTACACGGTTTGATCCAAATAAAATCTAGAGGGGGTGACTAGATGTTTGCACAAAATTTATACAAATATCAATTAAAAATTGCAGCACAGTATAATTATTAATTAGTCAAGTCCAATTCACATGCAATCTATCATATGTTGAATTACCGCAGTATAAAACAATTGTTGAAACGTAAAGAACAAAGATAATTTGATGACGGAGAAACCCCAACTAGGTAAAACTCTGGGCACAAGCTAGTATGAATCCACCATAAACAAACACAACTTATAGTACAGCCAGATTAGACCTACACACAAATTCATGTGATTTTCGATGCTTGAGATACGACATTACTAACTTCATCAAGCTTACCAATATCATGAAATATTAGATTAATGCAATGAGCTGCACATGGAGACCAAAATAATGTTTGAAACTCTAGCTCCAATAACCTACCAGCGGCAACATAGTTTGCAGTGTTGTCTGTCATCATATGGACCACATATTCTGGACCTACAAATAACACAACATCTCGAAATAACTTGTATAACGTGTCAGCACTTTTTGATTCATCTGAAGCATCTACAGATTTTAAGGATACTGTTCCTTTTGGACAATAAACTGAAAAATTCATAAGAGTTCGTTTACATTGATCTGTCCAACCATCTGTCTTAATTGTACAACCAGTCGTCTTCCATGTTGAACTATAGCTTTCAACATAATTCTGTACCTCCTCAACATTTTTAGCCAACAAATAACTACGAAAACTGTGAAAGTTCGGACTTTTGTAGTCAAGGCCCATGCTAACTATAGCATCTATACTTTGTTGATAACACACAGAATTCGCAGCATTGAAAGAGAGACACCCTCTCCTACAAGAAGAGTCGAAAAATCTGAGGTCTAGCCAAGTTCTTGTGACAATTTAATGCTTCCGAGAATTTAGAAATTATAATTCCAATTTCTAAGCAGATAATTCAATTGCTTTATACCAATAGTCAATTATGCAAAAATACCAGCCTAAACATACACGTCAATGTTCACAAAATACCATATCTCCATAAACAAATCAATAAATCAGAATTACCCAAATATCATTGCAGTAGGCTTAAGATTATGCTTTTCAATTAAAGCAAATTTACATGCAATCTTCTTCATCTTGGGACAAAAATAAATTACTACCCATCCAAACAAGAACAAACAAATCATTCATTTCCAGCATTTTAGTAAAATGAAGGAAAAAAATCTTCAAGAGAAATCAATTAAATAACGAACATCAAATCCAAAATTTCTAATCAACCAATAACATAAATAAAAAGAAAAATGGTAAAATCTCACCGTCACTTGTAGGCAGGCTGGTCCTCAGGCCAGGCGGATGAGGCCTGCGCCTCAGGCCCAAAATCCAAGGGGGCCTCATTTTGTTGGCCCAATTTTTATTTTTATTTTTATTTTTATTTTTTTTTTGTTTGAGTAATGGCAGCCTAGGCCCCAGCCAAGAGTAGCCCAAAACTCTCAAGCTCAAGCCCAGTAGCCCACCCGTGATCCACTAAACCCGATCCACTATCCAATTTCCCCCAAATGCTCAAATTGAAATCCATTTTCCCGAAAATCCAATCGGCAAACGCTTCCCGTCTGAGCCCTCTTCGTCAGAAGTGCCAATGTGCCATCTCTGAGTCTCTCTCGCTCGATGCCTCGACTCGACATCTCCTTCTTCCGCTTCCAAGTTCAACCCTAGGTATCTCTCTCTCTCTCTGACTCTCTCATAATAGAAATGTATACATATATATTGATATAGTCGACGCCTCGACTCAACATCTCCTTTTTTAGGTCTTCTGCTTCCAAGTTCAACCCTGTTAGTGATTGGATGTTGAATATATTTGTTTTGGCCTTTTTTTTCCACCTCTTTTGTGTGAGACTTGATAATCGTCATCTAGGTTCAGTCATATCGGAGTCCCTAAAGCGGAAAATGAAATAGAAGAAAAAGAAAGAAAATAACAGAAAAAAATAGAGATACATTTTGAAAATGTTAATTTATGAACTAAATCAGGGGGCATTCCAAAAAAAAAAAGAAAAAGAAAAAAAAGAGGCATTTGTAGAATCTTCCGCAACCTTTAGTTTGATGTTGGTTTTCCTTAATACCATATCAGATTCTTTGCAGAACCCAATAGCGTCCATCTATTAAAACAGTATGTAAACATAGTATTTCTCATTTTTCATTTATCTTTTCAAATGGATGTCTCTTATTTCTGTTTTTCAATCGATTTCTTTAACTTGTATTAAAAAAATATATATATACACGAAAAAAATTAATTTGTTTCACTTTCATTTTTCTATTTTAGAAGTATTAATTATTCTTGATACATATTAATTCATTTAATCTAGTTGAATGGATTATTGAAGTTTTAATTTTGGAAATCAAATTGAAATTTAGGTGTATAGCTAGAGTTGGCCCAATATCATATTTTTCTTCTCTCTAAGGGGATTTTAGATAATATTATCAAAAAATAAAAATGAAAAAAAGAAAGGGTAAAGCAAACGAAAGAGCCTTGTGGATTGCAAAACATGAGAAGGGCAATAAAAACGAAATAAGAAAGTTTTTCCATACATTCACGTTAACGGCAGTGATCCACTCTCACTGCTTCTTTCTATGATTTATTTCATAATAACTGACTTTGGAAATTTTGTATCCCAAGCAGTCACATTCATTTCATGAAATGTTGTTTGAATATTGTTTTTAAGGATTTTAAGGTTGGACTAAGAATGATTTTACTTTGAACATGTTTGTGTAATCACACCTAATCACATGGAACTTAGAAATACACTTTCGTGACACAAGAAATTGTTAAGACTTTCACATTCATGGTTGGGTTCTAGTCGGCATCCAAGTTTCCACTTGAAAAGGGGTGAACATTCGACTGCACTCTTGAATTTAGAATTCAGAATCAAAGTTTGTAGCTCAATTCTAAGCATTTGAAGTGTGGTCGAAGGGGGTATATATATAGACAAGCGTAGCTTTCATTGACAAGGTCGTAGGATATCACTCTATCACTCTTATTCATATATATGCCTCAACACCCACTTCACGAATGTGTAGGATGTCATTTGTGATGAAACATAGGATTACTACGTGATGCAAATGAATAGCTATATCTTCAGGATATTTGAGAGACAAGTGCATGTAAACACCCGAAATTTCCCTCTTTACTGTACAACATCTTCGATAAGCATATTGAGAGTGTATTCAAATATCATAAAGATTAGACTTGGTTCACATCACTGAATATAATACAGGACAATTTTAATGTAAATAGGTTAGAAATTAGTTATTATCATAATAGAATTTTGTTTTCTTTTATATTAGGATTTCAATTTTCTTTCCTTTAATTAACGTTGTTTAGTTTTCTCATACTGATAAGATTAGAGAATTATTTATTGTCTATATAAACAAATGTTTCGTACACTTTTATTAATTCTGAACTTCCTTATATTATTTCATCTTAAAATCAATTCCATAATTCGATAATATTTATTTGAATATGGAGATCAATATTCCTATCATGTTCATATTTGTATTAGGGTGTAATTTGATGATCATGTTAATATTTGTAATAGCGTTTCATGTGAAATTTTTGTTTCAAGGTCGGGAGTTGTGAGTCTTGTGACAGTGGAATTCTCGAAGGTGTAACTCCGCAGTTTTCGTCAAAATTCTACTTGTCAGGTAAGCAATGGCTTGCCTTAACTTGTTATTAAAGAAATTGAAAATATTTGAAGCCTTGACGGCTTATATGATTGATTATTAAAGGATCAACAGTTGCACAGGCGCACATAATAACTATATTGAAAACTCTAACTGTGTGATGATTTGAGATATTTTGTAATTGTTTTTTAAGTTAATCATTGGGCATCAGATATAGACTCATACACCATGCCTCCTAAATATAAGTCTGGTGCTCAAAAGAGAAAAATGAAACGAAATGAAATTTCATTAATTCAAAGTCAAGTAGGGGATATTGGCAAGTACTTTAAAAGAAACAATGTGAATATGTTGAATGAGGATGAAGTAGAGATTCAACCTACATGTGTTAATGAAGTAGTTAATAAGGATGAAGAAGTGAGTCAACCTGCCTACATTAATGTAGTGGATGATAAGGAAGAAGAGGTGATGAAACCTACATGTGTTAATGAAGTAGATGACAAAAAAGAGGAGGGTTGTTTTTCTCTAAATTTGGATGATCTAGCGAATTGGAAAATTATTGATCAGAGAACAAGGGATTACTTAGTTGAAAGGGGTCCAAAAAGAGTTGATGACATCTCGTTTCCAAAAGACTGTACAAATAGGCATTTTGATTCTTCACATATATGCAATTGCTACGAAATGGGCAAACAATTGATAGAAGATGGCTAGTATATTCAATATCTATGGACATGATATTTTGCTTTTGTTGCAAGTTGTTTAAAACACCCAAAAATGTTACTAGAGTTGGCCAACTTGGTAACGATGGATTTAAAGATTGGCATAATTTGCATCGGTCTATTAAAAGTTATGAATGAAATGAAGAGCATTTATTTTGCATGACTAGCTGGATAGAATTGGAAAATAGGCTTCGAACAAAAACTACAATTGATAAAAGTGTTGAATTGTTGGTCGATGCGGAAAAAGAACACCTTCGGCAGGCTAATGCAAAAGAGATTCAATACACATATCTTGGCAAAAAAATCCAAAATGAGTTGATACAGTTGTTAGCTAATAAGGAGAGAAGTGCAATTGTTAAGAAAGTTAAACATGCAAAATATTTCCCAGTGATACTTGATTGTACTCCAGATGCAAGTCAGGAGGAGTAGATGTCGTTAATAGTACGATTTGTAGATGATTCAGTAAACTTACCTATAGTTGAAGAACATTGGCTTGAATTTTTGAAGGTAGATGACACAACAGGACTTGGACTTACAACCGAACTTCAAAAGGCTTTGATCAAACTCGATCTGGATATTGATGACATTAAAGGGCAAGGGTATGATAATGGATCTAACATGAGTGGGAAGCATAAAGGTATGCAAAGAAGAGTACATGAAATGAATCCCCGAGCTTTTGATACTCCATGTGGCACTCATAGTCTAAATCTAGCGTTATGTGATATGGTGAATTGTTGTTCCAAAGCTGTATCCTTCTTTGGAGTGATACAACACATCTACACTTTGTTTTCATCTTCTACCAAACGATGACAAATTTTTAAAGATAATGTAAAAGGGTTGACAATGAAGCCGTTGTTACAAACATGTTGGGAAAGTCATGTTGAAAGTGTGAAGCCTATAATGGAGCAAACTTCACAGATAAGGGAAGCATTACTTGATTTGACAGAAACTAACGAAGATCCTAAAGTAAAGAGTGAAGCCTAATCGTTGGCAACACATGAACTTCAAAATTTTGAGTTCTTGCTTGGTATGGTAATCTGGTACAGGTTGTTGCATGTAGTCAATATTGTGAGTAAATTTCTTCAAATCGAATCCATGGATATTGATCATGCTATCGACTTATTGCAAGGACTTGTTTAATTTCTTGAAGATTATAGAGAAATTGGATTTGCCATTGCCATGGATGAAGCGACAAAAAAGGCAAATGAAATGGGAATTGAAGCTGTATTTACAGAAAAACGCATAATTCGAAGAAAAAAAGCAATTTGATGAAAACTGTAGTAATGAGGTAAAGTAATCAGCAGAAGAATCATTTAGAGTTGAGTACTTTGTTTTTATAATTGATCAAACTCTATCTTCTCTAAGGACTCGATTTGAACAATTCAAACAATATGATGATATATTTGGATTTTTGTTTAATTTGAAGAGGTTAAGAAGTGCAACTTTATTAAGTTTGTTGAACTCTTGTATGAATCTTGAGAAATATCTTGAACATGATGGGCTTTCGGATATCAGTGGAGATGATTTATGTTCGGAGTTACAAGTCTTGAAGATTTATTTACCAAATGAAGCAACAAGAGCAATTGAAGCGCTACACTATTTGAAGACATTGGATGTTTGTTTCTCAAATGCTTATATTGCTTACAAAATTTTGTTTACCGTATCGGTTACAGTTGCATCTGTGGAAAGAAGTTTCTCAAAATTGAAGTTGATCAAGACCTATCTCCGATCAACTATGTCATAAGAAAGATTAAACAGGTTGGCTATGTTATCAATCGAAAAAGAAATGGTTGATCAGCTAAGTTATTCGGATTTGATTGATGTTTTTACCTCTAAAACAGCAAGACAAATAGTATTTAACTAATTGCTTGAAATTTTTGGTTTGATGGTTTATAATATAAATCGTTTCTATGATATATTTCGTTGTTGTTTTAATATTAGTTTTTTTAAGTTAGCAATGAGTCGCATAATACACCTTTGAATTTTGTCACTGGGGGGCCTAATTTTCATCGTTCGCCTTAAGGCCCATCAAACACAGGACCAGCTCTGCTTGTAGGAGCAGGAGCGGGGGCCAAACCCTCATGGCCATGGCCCTGAACAGTAGGCAAAAATATTGCAAAAAAAAAAAGAACAAAACTTGCAATGACACCAAAAGAAACCTCACCGATCTCTGCCATTTTCTTTTCTTTGCTTTGCTTTATTTGTATTTTTTTTATTTCACGCCACCCAATGCCACTAAATTCATTGATTGATGCAAATGCAAATGCAAATAATTTTCATCAATCAGCTTTTGAAAAAAAAAAGGTCATGGATTCCGCCAATCAACGTGTAGAAGGAAACTTATAATAATCCATTAACACGTTTCTTGAATAAAAACAAAAAAAAGAAGGATAATCCCGTTTGAGAAGAATAAATATCTTGTCCATGTGGACTACATAATTTTGTTGTATATCGATGGTTTGGAGTGGCTATGTACTCACCTCTCGTGGGACTAATCATGATAAATTATCGAGATTATTATATTGTTTACGCTTCCGCTTAATGACATTACACTAAGATCCATGCGGATAGTGAATTTGCCCTCTCGGTAAATCATTATTTGGTAGGATGCTTAGGACGACAAAGATAATAGTTTAAGTGCTTGGCACTTGGTGGCCAAATTCTATCCTCTTGGTAGGGGGTCATTTTAAGTCATTGTATTTAATTATTTTGCTTCGTAATGCGTGTGAGGCTTTTGTGTGTCTTGGCTCTAGCAAAGTGCGTAAGAGTTTATTTTTAATAAAACTCTAGCATGTATATAAAATTGCCTAGTGGATACATTTATGGGAGCATGTTTATTGTTCTATATGTTTGATAAATTTTTTTATTGTTTGATATAAAAAAAATAAATAAATAAAATTTGATCCTAAGACAATCACTGGTTATTTTATTGGGTATTGTGTGGGATCAAGAGGATCTGGATTCTATTGCCCTTCTAATGTTACTAGAATTATTGAATCTGATGGGGTCATGTTCTTTGAGGATATTAGTGACAGTGGGAGCTTTGCACCACGTGAAGTGTTCAGAGATGGAACCTGTTATTATATTTATACCTGTTCAGGTTACTTCTCTATCAGTGGTTGTGTCACCATTAACAGTGGGAGCCAATACTATTGTCTAAGACCCTATTGTTGACATTGAGGTTGATGTTAATATGGGGACTTATGATATTGTTTTTGAGGAGATCACAGAGAACTCGAAGACCAACAATTTTTGATGATTATATTGTCTATTTGCAGGAGCATAAGTTTAATGTTGGTACGTTTCTTGATCCAGTCCCTTTTTTGTTTTTTAAGGAAGCCATTGATAGTCCTAAATCTTCATTTTGGATGGATGCTATGCATAATGAGATGGCATCAATGTGTCAAAACAGAGTATGGGACTTAGTTGAACTACCTTGTGGCTGTAGGCCAATTGGCTATAATTGGATTTTCAAGATCAAGTATAATTCTCAAGGTTAGGTAAAAAGGTATAAAGTTAGGCTTGTTGCTAAGGGCTTTAATCAAAGACAAGGCAATGTTTATTTATGTGTTGAGACATTTTGATTAGTCTCGTGCCTGGGTCACGCACATTTTTGGACAAGGTGCACTTTATGTGTTGAGACATTTTGATTAGTCTCGTGCCTGGGTCTCGCGCATTTTTGGACAAGGTGCACTTTATGTGTTGAGACATTTTAATTAGTCTCGTGCCTATGTCACGCGCATTTTTTGGACAAGGCATACTTTATGTATTGAGACATTTTAATTAGTCTCATGCCTGTGTCACATGCTGACATTTTGATTAGTCTCGTGCCTGTGTCATACGCATTTTTGGACAAGGCGTACTTTATGTGTTGAGACATTTTGATTAGTTTCGTGCCTGTGTCACCCGCATTTTTGGACAAGGCATACTTTATGTATTGAGACATTCTGATTAGTCTCGTGCCTGTGTCACATGCTTTTTGGACAAGGCGTACTTTATGTGTTGAGACATTTTGATTAGTCTCGTGCCTGGGTCACGTGCATATTTAGAAAGGTAAAATTGGCGCATTGAGACATTTTTGTTGGTCTAATGATTAGGTTATGCGCATCGTGGACAAGGCGTGTTATCTATAAGAGACTATATTTTCAGTCTATATCCAAGTCTGGCAGTTGTAAGTATATGTTTGGTGTCATGTACCGTGTCGGTATAGTCATTAGACTATGTGCTACAACTGTTTTTTGGGTAAGGCTTATCGTTTTTTAAAGACATTTAGATTTGTCTCTAGGGCTTCTTATGGAAACGGGTGTTTATCACCCTTTTGATCTTTTCCATACTGTTTTTACATCTCATTGGCCTATGTTTCAAGTATTGATCATGTGTTGTATATCCTGCCGGTATATCATTCTCTAGTTTGAACTTGTAGGCACATTTTGAACAATGCCTTTGGTTTTGAGATGCTTGTTTGTGTTTCTGTAGTGATTAAATGAAATGCTGTCCGAGTGGGAGATTGTTGGATTTATTTTATGGACTAGCATTTCATTTAGTCATTGTTTGGGCCTATAATGTGATGGGCCATTTTTATTAACACATATGGAGGCCTCTACTCTCACCCCACTTAATATAGGATTGGCCTATTAAGTTCTATATGTATATTTTGGCCCTTCCTACTCTGTATCTCTTAAGCAAGATGAGGATATTGGTTTCTAGGGTTTCAAGGGGATAGAGAGCAGTTCTTTCCATGGCAAACTTCTTCTTCTATTGCAGCTCAAAGAATTCATGGAAAGCTAATCACGATCTATTGGAGGTACTACAGATCATCCAACATGAAAGATCCGATGAATTGAAGGTATTGAATTTCTAACATGCATTGCTAATGGAATGGCCTTGGAAGCTTTGATTTATACTTGGTGTTACGCATTCCTCCTGTCTCTCCGTTGTTTTGGACAACCATTACAATGTTATAGACGTGTTGAAAGAAAGCATAGTCTTGAAGGTTTGGATAATTAAAAGAGAGAAATTCGAAACCTCTTTGATAAAGAACCCGTTTTTGCAAATTGAGATGGCCTAAAAAGCGCTTTAGCGCTTAATGAACGATGTATTTGCTAGTGTTGTCCCCCCCTCCCCGGCCTCCCAGAAGGAAAAGTACCATCCCTTCTTAAATTTAGTGATTGTATAAGCTCTTCCAATTATTTTTCTGTTTTTTCAGTACTACATATTTTTCTTTTTTCGAAAATAACAAGTTTCTTGTAAGCTCTTAATGCAAGCTTGCTGGCAGAATATATAAACAACGGAAAGCAATGGTTGTATATATATTTTGTGATTTTCGATGTGTGAGATACGGCATTACTAACTTCATCAAGCTTACCAATATCATGAAACATTAGATTAATGCAATGAGCTGCACATGGAGACCAAAATAATGTTTGAAACTCTAGCTCCAATAACCTACCAGTGGCAACATAGTTTGCAGTGTTGTCTGTCACCATATGGACCACATATTCTGGACCTACAAATAACACAACATCTCGAAATAACTTGTATAACATGTCAGCACTTTTTGATTCGTCTGAAGCATATACAGATTTTAAGAATACTGTTCCTTTTGGACAATAAACTAAAAAATTAATAAGAGTTCGTTTACATTGATCTGTCCAACCATCTGTCATAATTGTACAACCAGTCATCTTCCATGTTGAACGATAGCTTTCAACATAATTCTGTACCTCCTCAACATTTTTAGCCAACAAATAACTACGAAAACTGTGAAAGTTCGGACCTTTATAGTCAAGGCCCATGCTAACTATAGCATCAATACTTTGTTGATAATACACAGAATTCACAGCATTGAAAGGAATACACGAATCAATCATCCATTTCGATATAGTGAGATCACATTTCTCTATAGCTTCTTTGCTCTGAAGAACACTTTTAATAGTAGGTTGATTATCAGGTCCTGTTCTTGGCATGAAGTAAGAACTAATTCCTTTTCCTTTTCTTTGACTTTTCTCAATAGCTATATCGTTTCCTTTAGAATTAGGAGGGATGATCTCTTGAACATCATGACCCAAATCTCTATACATTTGCTCTTCTTGTTCTCGATAATAAGAGCTATGTGGGTTACACTCATCAAGAATTTCTTGAGTTTTACGCTTCTTTGTGGCAAAGATGTCCAAGTTTTCTTTCATTTTAAATCTAACATCAGGAAGTGCTCTACGATAAGAATCTATATCACCTTTTAATCCCGCTAAATGTTGTTTGACTCGATTAATACCACCTCCACCGAAAGTCTTTCCACAATACAAGCAAAAAAGTTTTTTTTTTTTTTAAATATTTCCATTATTACTAGCTTCTAAAACCTCTATACAATGGCTCCATGCTATATCAGTTTGTCCTTTTGCACGATTCTTTGTTGGAGAAGAACTATGCAGTGTACTATTAACACCAACAATTCATATGGGAAATTTGTTGTCAAGTGTTAACCTCATATCTAACAAGGAAATATGTTATAACTCCATTATCAATAGTGCTGGTGATAACTTGCTACTAACTTTCGATTATGCCCCGAGTAATGGAATTTTTTTCTTTGTGGCAAATTATGCACACTAAGTAACTTGTGATCACATGCAGGTTCTTGTTTGCTAGATGAATAAAATTCTGCACTATCTTAGATAGCTATGGAAAGACACTCATTTAACACATCTCATATTTTTTAGAGTGATAATGATTAGGGATGGAATCATACAGAACAATCTTACATGCATTTGGTATAAATATTAACTTTACCTTCCATGACACTAACTGCCTACTTGGTATAACAAAGCTTACATTTGCAAATAATTATATCAGAGAATCTGCAAATTGATGTCAGTGACACCTGTGACTTATTTATATAGGAAATTATTTTGTTATTCTTATTAGGGGAGTTAAAGCATTGAGTAAGTTATTCTTCTGGGTAGGACCATCCATTGCATCTCAAATTCTGTGTCAATGTCTCTAACAGGAACCAACTCTAAGCATCTTGAGACTACCAATATTTTAGCAAAATCAATAGCAAAGCAGAAAATGATTCTACAAAATCACCAATCAAATAATTAACAACTCAAACTGAATAGATTTAAAGCCTTTCATCAATCAAAATTGATATAAACTGAAAGAATAACTTTGAATCTGTCTTCAACAGATTTCATGGTTCAAGAAATACATGGAATGGACAATGAATGTACATTAATAAGATGAGAAAAATCTGTTCAATTCTTGTAAACACCAACTCAAGGGAATGTAAAGAATAGCAAATTATTATGTAAATTTAATTCCAAATCCTAAAAGCAAAGAATCCGAAGCAGTCCACTGCAATTCTGAAAACCAACTATATCTTGTTCTAAAAACAAGATTCACCATAGGAAAAATTTTATGCAATTATGCTTTGTAAGAATCTTAAATTGCACAAAAACAACTATATATTGTTCTAAAAAATTTGAAATCCACCACAGGAATATTTTCAACTAATCAATCAAAATCTATTTCTACTGACTTCATACTAACCTCTTCTTCTTCCATCTCTTAAGACTTCGAATTGGAGATTTGGATTTTAGGGGAGTGATTAAGTAGCAGACGATAGCGAAGCAGTCAGATTTTGGAATGAAGAAGAAGACTTTCGTAGGTAACGTGAATTGGGGATTTGGAAAACAAGGTTTTAAAGCAAAAACCCGGTTGGTTCAATTGCAAATGGGTCGGCAGTTGGGCTAAAAACCAGCCGGTTCAACAGGTTTCCAACGGGTGGTTTGTCCACCTTTAAAACTTCTTGACTCGGGCCGGACCTGGGTCTGATTCGATGGCTCTCAGGTTGAATCGGTCGGGCCAGTCCGAGTTCTATAACTATGGTGTAAACTATCGATATTCACCCTAAATGTCATATATATGGTACTTTGTTATTTGATGCATAAGGCAGTAAAAAAACTACTATAATGCATCAAATAATAAACTGTCATGTCTATGTCACATAGAACAACTATTGATAGTTTTCGCTATGAATAGTATTACCTTGTTTTAATAGAACAATCGAGCTATTGACTTTTAAAAATTTCAGCAAAAAAATTCAAAACATTACTTCTCAGAAAAGGGAAATTTTCCTGTATCCCAACAAAAAAAAGAAAATAAGAAATTCTAAGCTTATTGTGACATTTTATTCACAAAATACTGGAGTTTTGGGTTAAATTTCCATAACAATTGGAATCCTTCCATAATTACATAAAGGGAAAATCTTTGAAAACAGTTTCATAATAATCGATTAAGGGGTGAACGCGATTTGATTTGGATGGTTTGAGATAAATTTTCAAACCAAACCATTTAAAGCGGTTTGGAATTTTTCCAAACCAAACTAAATCACTTCAATTTCTAAACCAAACCATTTTTTTCGGTTTGGTCCGGTTTAACAATGAAAAAATAAATATATATCAAATAATTTAAATCGTAAGTATTAGTCTAAAATTTCACATTAAAACATAAGTTGTATTATTAAAAAAAATTACAAATCAAAATTATATAATTATAATCATTATAATGCAACAATATGATATAAATATTTTAAACTCTTAATCAATACTAATGTCATCCATTTACAATTGTAATAAACGATTCATTCTCTTCATAAATATAAAATATAGTTATATGAATTCATTGATTATAGTTAAATGATTTAAAATAAATAATAAAAGAAAATGAATAAAATAATAAAATAAAAAAATACCTAGCTATTGTGAATTTTTGTGAATCATTTAATGCTTCTACTCCATCTAAATATTAGTGAATTACTTTAAAAGAGTCTGATAATTATTAGAACAAAACAATATAGCTACCAATAAAAACATTAAAAAAGATTACCAAAAAATAAAAGAATTTAGATAATCTGACTTGAATTTAGGCAAAATTTAAGAAAATTATTAGTTGAAGGAAATGAAATGTGCAAGTTTGAATTAAAATCTATATTTAATTGTCTATTCAATTATAATGGAGAATCGATGAATATAGTTTAACAGCAATTATTGAACACTTTACCCAATTTAATGATCTTTTATTCATCATTCTGCTGACTAATGGGTATTTAGATATGATTTAATTAATTAATTGAGATGTAAAATTGTCAAATTGAGTTCAATTGAATTATATATATTATGGATGTATTTTTTAACTGAACTGTGTTAAATTTTAATTGGGTCAAATAAAATTTAGACTAATTTATTTTCAGATTTTTTGGTAAACAGTTTAACGGTTTGAAACGGTTTTAAAATATTGAGACCTAAACCAAACCACTTCGAAGTGGGGAGTTTGTTTCAAAACCTAAACGTTAACGGATCCACGTGGAACCAAACCAACGGTTTTAGTTTGATCTTACGGTTTGATAGTTTCGTTGTTCAACCCTACTTGACTTCTTGTACTTCTGGGTATTTAGGGTTGGCAAAGGGCGGGTTCGGGGCAGGTCAAGCTCCCTCGCCCCTTCCTCAGCAGACATTTTCCTATCCCGTACCTGTCTCTTACCCGTTTAGGGTGGGACGGGGCAATTATGTACCCGTTTAATTTTTTTTATATAGTTTTGATAATTCATTTTATTTTCCCTATTCATTCAAGTCAAGCAAGACAATAATATAATTATTAAATTTTTTAATTAATTAATTTATTTTTAAAAGTTAAATTATTTGAATATATTTGGTGAACTAAGGTTTTTATAGTTTATCATATTTTTTTGGATAATTTTAGTTGCTATCTTTTATTAAAATTAATGAAATCTCACGGAATTTTCCATTTAAACTTAAAGTATTAAATTATTAAATAAAAATAATAATTGAACGGGGTGGGACAAGGCCCCCTGTTACCTTTACCCGCCTCGTACCCAATTCGATTACCCGATTAAGCGGATAATCCTCATCCCGTTCGGAGCCGTGCCCACGGGTATTGGGTTTGAAGGGTATTTTTGCCATCCCTATGGGTATTATTGCACCGTCTATTGTTTATTTGCCAGTATATAATTTAAGTATTGATTAGTATATAATATAAACTTATATATCATTATGTAATATATGTTTACGAGATTTCGAATGATTTCTCACAAACTCTACATGAAGTACAAGAAGATACCTTCAAGACACCATGTCGAACCATGAATTCAACAAGATGATAAACCAATTTTGATATTTGGCTATTTAGTTTTTAAATGTTAAAATAGTGTAAAAATGCACAGTGTAACATGGTTTCATATTCTATTTTATTACATAAGTTTCTTCATAAGTTTTACATCAATATGCTATAGTTGCTATCTCAAATGGTGAATTTGACAACATATATCACATTCCTACACATTGGTGCAACGATTTATTTATGTTAAATAGTAAAAAAAAGCAAAAAATTAAATCATTTCACAACATTTTTAATTCCATAAGTTATATTGTCGGTTATGAAAGAATATGTTAATGTTTTTCTCAAAAACGTGAATGCAATTGGAACCCATAGATAAATGGAAGTTTTATTTCGTGCCTAAAATATTTTAGTCATTTTATTTATTACGTCTTTCTTGCAAAATCACAAATTTAGCACGTCCATGAGGAATTTCAATTGGATAAGAAGTAATGTCTGATAAAAAATTTTAAAATATACTTGCTTATATTAATATATGTAAATAAAAATAGAAAAGTGGAATAATATAAGTTGAATTTCAGACACAATTAAAGTAGCCCATGAAATTTCCTCTGGAAGGGAATTCACTCCCAGTGGCAGGCTGGCAGCCCAAGATCAAAAGAATGGAGCCCAGTAAAAACCCTAGTTGGCACAAAATGATCTATAAAAAAATACAGACATGCTTGGGTGGGCTCAAAAAAATCTTCTCTTATAAGTATAAAAAAGGAAAAAAAAAAAAAAAAAAAAAAAAAAAAAAAAAAAAAAAAAAAAAAAAAAAAAAAAAGAAAAAAAGAAAAAGGGAGA